AACTGAACCCATTTATCTTTAAAGTAAAAGTTGTACGTAACCATTGAAACCAACACTTTTCAAGACGCAACATTTACGTCTTGAAGGTGATTGATTTCTGTCTGTGGTCTGCGTGACACTCTTTTACATTTTACAGCCACTTAGTTTAGGGAGTTTTTCCTTCCCACTGTCGCCAAGTGCTTGCTCATAAGGAGTTGCCTGATTGTTGGGGTTTTACTCTATATTGTAAGGTAAAGACCCTACAATAATATAAAGATCCTTGAGGTGACCGTTTTTGTGATTTGGCACTATATAAATAAAATTTAATCTTTAAAAAAAAATTGCGACTAGTTGGGGAGTGTTTGCAGACTTTTGTACAAACTGTACAGCACTGTATGCCTCTTTACAACCAATTTCATCTAGTGACAGCAACATACAGGAACAATTCCCCCACTAAAATCTAAACTTCAACAACAGAACACGTCCATCCACATTTCAGCAGACCTGCTGGTAAAGCACTGCCCTGTTGTGGTCAAAGAAATCTTTTTCAAAAATTTGTGATGCGGTTGAATGGCATTGGTGATGTACAAGAGAACACCATTAGTTACTCACTTCCATTAAAACCACTAAAGATGGATGTTGCCCTTCGTTTTGTAAAATCCTGTTTTGACTGGAGTATTTTAAACATCCTCATCGTCTTGGCAATTTGAAACCAGACATCATGAGACGTCATCCCCTGTGGACTATTAGCAAAGTATTAGAGCTAATATTAACTAATAATTTCAGTCAATATTAACTATTTACCGATGTATTGGTATTGGCACTTATAATGCTCGATAAATTAAATGTAAAGTACCAACAGGAGAGAAACCCTTCAACCATTTAACTAGTGAGTCTTTTGAGTGTTGATATTCTGTAGTTTGTCCACCAGAGGGCACTCTGCAACTTTGGTGTTGACAGCATGTGTTTGGAGCGCCACAAACACAACAACCTGCTGGCCTGAGAAAAGTTGGGAGTGTAAACAAGTATATAAATAAACTACATGCAGCAAATGTTAGGGAAATTTGTTTATGCTTTGTTTATCAGAAAGAAAAATATCAGCAGGTATATCGGAATATCAGACTTTTAAATGGACAATATCAGAATTGGTATTGGTCTAAAAAAAAAAAAAAACTATCTACAAAGAATGTTTCCACATGGGCTTCCCTTTGAGACCATCTTTTATCTACAGTCTATCAAAACCACAGTGGTTTCCGGTGCTGGGTCATGTCTTAAACTTAAAACATGAACCAGCACTGTCTAAAACTGATACATTTAAAAGTAGTAGTGATTTAAAAGTGTATTGGTCATGGCTGCAGTGGGTGTGTCCTTTGCATCATAGAACCTCAGAACTGGGTCATTCCTACCAGGTAAAGGAGACGTCCGGTAACTTTTCCACCCAAACGACAACTGATGAGCAGCGTGAGAGTTTTATGTAGTTCTCCTAATGTAGATTTTGCATTAAAGAGCTCAATCAAAGCTAAATAATGTTGACATTACATCAAAATCCCGTGACTATGAATCATTGAGTCTTTTTTTTTTTTTTTTGAGCCATGCAAATCATTGCTTTGCAGTTAAATAACATGAAAAGATCCAAACATTTAGCCTTTTCTTCTTAAAAACAGTAACAAATGTTAACTTTTTCACTTTATCTGATGTAAGTCACATCTACATAGCCTCATTTATTAATTTCTGAAAATATTTTTCGACATTAACCAAATTTGTTTTTAAACAAATCCTTTGCAGCTTTTTGTGGTGAATTATTTCCCATCAGTGATATAAAAGCAGTCACAAAGATGAATATTTCTGATTTCTGCTCATTAACAAAAAGTGAACACACTCTGAGAAATGGGAAAAATATCTTTTGGCAGGAGATCACTGCTTTGAGCATTTCTCAACAACCTTTTTGTTTCTGTGTCTGTCTGAAGTCAGATGTTGAATAAGAGATTTGACAGAAAACTAAAAACCGCTATCAAAACCAGTTTTGTACGGAAGTCTCCATGTGGACAAATTTCATCGCTGTGCAGTTTTGTTCTTCTTGGAATATGCCATGTAGTATGAAAATGTAACATCTATCATTGTGAGATTTGATTTTGCTGTACAGATAAAATTTGTTGATTTAATAAAAATGTGTGCAGATTTTCATATCCTTGCCTCAGACAGAGTCCCTTTTTAAGACCAAATAAGTTACAGCTCTTATATGTTTTGTGTTTAACACACAGTCACAGCTGAAGAAGCCTGCACGTTCCAAAAGGCTCAGAAACATGCTTTATGTCTTTATCTACACCACACTGCATTTCCACAGTGGGTCTTTTGTCCTGTCTCTCTTCCCCTACCCTCAGTTGTTTGTGACAGATGACAGCCCCTCCTTGAACCTGGTTATGTTGGAGGTTTCTTCCTGATAAAAGGGAGTTTTTCCTTCCCACTTTCGCCAAAGTGCTTTCTCATAATGGGTGGTATGATTGTTGGGTTGTTTGTTTTTTATTGTAGGGTTGTTAACCTTACAATATAAAGCACCTTGAAGTGACTGTTGTGATTTGGTGGTATAAATAGATTTGAATTGAATGTGAGTGAATGAAGACCAAAGATAAACATGTCCTCTGTGGCCTAACCCACTGCTTTATCACTCATTATGCCTACAGCAAGAGCCGTACATGAAATGTCGGTCACTGCTGCCCAAGAATAAAAATTTATTACATGTAGTTTAAAGTAAAAATCTGTTTATTTGTAACTTTTCAGTACTAGGCATTACTCAGACGAATGTTTACTGACACAGAAGCGTCCTCGTGCCTCTGCAGAAGCTGACTGCTGTGACGCAGCAGAGAGAGGCTCATCCTTGCTCATCCTCCAACAGTTGACATCCAGTGTCAACTGTTGGAGCTGATCCTTCTGCTTCTAAAGAGCAGAGAGAGAGAGAGAGGGAGAGGGCAACAAGCCATTTCACAGAGACCTTTGAAGATGTGCCAGTTTACCACTCACAAGCCACTTCACTAGCACTGCATCAAGTGCTTTGCAGTCCGACTGGCAAGAAGTGAAAGCAAATAAAAATAGGTCCCTGCTGTATTCGTGAGGATAGTACATTTGAGTACCAAGTTGGAACCCCTTTTGCCTTCAGCCTTAATTGTGGCATTGATTGAACAAGGCTCTGGAAACATCTTTAGAGATGTTGGTCCAAGTGCCCACTCTCTTCTGCTTCCAGCTCGGCTAAAAACCTATCCCAACTGTAATGGGGATACAGCCTGTCAAGTTTGCCAATCTGTTTCAGGAAGGAAGTCAATCATTCGCACAGACAACCAAAGTAAAATCACTAACCTACACATAAATGTAGTACTTAAAGGGAGCCCAGGACCTATTTGCCGTAAAGCGATGGCGCTAACCACCCCACCTCAGTGTTAACCCACTCCCACAGCCATGTCACATGTGGTTGACTGATTACATATTTGTGTTAAACAGCTGAACAGGTGTAGCTAAGTAAGTGAGCACCGAGTGACAGCCAGCTCAACAACAGTCATGAGTCATTGCAGGATGCTGTACAGCAGGGGTTAGGAACTCCAGGCCTCGAGGGCCGGTGTCCTACGGGTTTTAGATATCACTGTGGGTCAACACACCTGAATCAAATGATTAGTTCATTACCAGGTCTCTGGAGAACTGCAAGACATGTTGAAGAGATAATTTAGTCATTTAAATTAGCTGTGTTGGATCAAGGACACATCTAAAACCTGCAGGACACCGGGCCTTGAAGCTGGAGTTCCCCCACCCCTACTCTACAGCATCCTACTTATGTTTCATCTTCACGTGAGCCACAGAAAAAAGACATCATTACAGTACTCCTAAATATACTTTGAATTTAATTTGAACACTTCTTTTATCGTGGCATTTTTGACAGGTTAGAAATGAAAATGGGTTACACAGGATTTTTTTTTTTTTAAATTTTCCACATTTATGTCCAGGTTTTGGATCTTGGATGTGTTTATGTGCACTTATCTGGCACTGTCCTGCTGCAGCTTCACTGAATGAGAGCAGGGCATCGCAGTCTGACTGCCAAGAAGCGAGGCCTGTCGTAAGGGCGACACTCCAGCTTGTGTGGCAAGGACTGTTTCTGCTCATGCATTTGTTTCTGGAAGATTATATTGTAGCAAAGATTAGCTTTAGCCTTTATTAATATAACCTTTAACAAGGCTGTTGCTGACTACTGTCTGTGCCTTTGTGGAATTCTTTTTCCTGTAGATTTTGAATGCCTGTAATTTTAAGGTTGCTTTGATGTTTAGAGACTGGTGAATAAAGTGTATTTCATAAAGCGTAGAATTAGATTTTTTTTTTTACCTAATTACTGGTGATTATTCCTGATAACTCTGCTCTGGAAGGTTTGTCTGGGGCTCCAGGTGACTGCATTAAACAATGAAAACATCATCCATGGAGGGAACCACATAATGCTCCAGTGGCCGTAAAGGGTAAAGCAGAAGTTTAAAAAAAAAATACTCTTTTGATCTGAAAGTAATACACTCAGACCGGTTTGCAGGATTTTACATGCAAAGCTTAGTGTTGTCATGACAACAGGGACAGCAGTTTGTGTTCTAGTTTCATTGTATAAGATGTATGAAGACACAAGCTGATGCTTCCCTGTGCTGAATTGTATTTGCATGTTTCCAGCCAAAGCAACAAGAGGTTCAGCAGTATGTGCTGCTGAAGAACCAACTTGTGAAAATGGGAAATCTCCTCAAAACTGGCGTTTCATCCCAGTTTTCTTTTCCTACATTGTTCCCTTCCACTCAGTTTCCCATTAACATGATTTGACACAGCACTCCAAACAGCCAGCCTTCTCAGCAATGACCTTCTGTGGCTTACCCTCCTTGTGCCGGTGATAAGATACTCAAAATGGAAATGCAATACTCTGAGATACTAGAGTTCTGATATTTGGGAGCTTTAAGCTATAATATGAGCATTTACCCTTTTGATGAGCACAAAAGATGTTCTGTGAAACATTCAGCTGTAGAAAGCTTTTTATTGTTGCTTCTCCCTGTAAGTACTGTATATGTATATGTTACAATTATGGAAAGAAAAAGAAAGAATCCACAGACCAATGTAGTAGATCTAATATCTTCTATTTTAGCATCTATGTGGGTTAGCTGTAGCAGGGATAAGATTAACAGGGAAAGAAGAGACTTCCTTGTATGTAAGACACAAATTTAAACATGAAAAACCCCCAAACCTGACATAATAAAAGAAAAAAATAATTAACTTATTACTTTTTTGTTTTTATGTGTCTGAGATGATTTTGCATTGTGATCCCAGCATAGCAAATCAGACTAGCAACAAAAAAACATGTATAGATTAAAAAGACCCAGAGGTAACAGTCGACGTTACTGCTTTGATCTGTCTAATGATTAATCGGGGGGGGGGGGGGGGCGGCAACTGTTTATCTGCAAACTCGCGTGACTTAATATGAAAAAAAAAAAAAACAAAAGAAAAAACAGCTGTCACATAAAAAAAAGTGTCTAAAAAGTAACCAAAGCCCACAAATATCAAGCTAAATGAAAGCCAATCAAGTGCTGCCTGCATAATTAAATTTACTGTAATGTATCCGAAGTTTTAAAGGTTTTTTCCATGTTTAGAAGGAGGCCATGAGCCCATTATACAGCAGACAGCTGTAATCTCTCACTCAGAAAGCCGGGCAGCGTCGCGCATTTGCAGGCTGTAATTCCTCGATCAGAGTAGCGCGGTGCTGCGCATATCCAGGGTGCAATTCAGTCAGACAGTAGGGTGGCGCTGTATATTTCAGACCTTATCGACTAAGGCACAGTCAGTGTTTAACTGGGTTTTGTCATTTGAAACAGCAGCAGTCACCACAGCTGAGCAGAGAAAGCTGTGGAGTTCCTGGTGATGGCCCCTGGATGCTGGATCCAAGAAAACTCAAAACCTACACTGAAATCTTGTGAGTGAGCCAGCTGTAATGGCTGCTGCTCACCTCATCTCCACCCAGTCTTATTCTTTTTGGACTAAACGTGTGTTGTCCAATAAAACATCCCTTTAGAAAACAAAGATATGACAGAACAAACATGCATGTTTACAGTTTGTTTGGCAAGCCTCTCGATGCTTCTCTGCCTGAAGCTAAAGCTTCTACCAATCGACTGTGCCGCTGACGTCTTGTTGATTGAACAATCCATCACGAATAAGGAAACTTTTGCACTGGTTGAATTTACAAAAACATGCTTACATTTTCTTTTCTTTTCTTTTTTTTTTTTTTTACAGTCAGCAACAAAAAAAAACCAAAACAACCCAGGCTGTTTTCAAAAAAGGCGGGTCTACTGTTCAGCACTAACACCTTTTAATTAGTCCTGGTATCTTGATTGCAGCATTGCTATTGGGTGGCCATAGAGGGGGGGCCATCAGGACGCAATGACGTGCACGTAGTTGGCAGGGTAGAGGCCAATCTGGCCATTGCTCAGCTGTCCTTTACACCAACCCTGCTCGTCCTCTTCTCCCAGCTTCAGTAGCTCCTCCCCTGGAAGGATGAGAGTCAGTTTGGCTTTAGTCACGTTCATTTAAATGAATAATTGGATACTGACTGGATACGCCTGCAAAATACAAGCAAAACGCAGGACTTTGGCCTCCTGTTTAAAACAAGTTAAAGACAGGAAGGTAAAATCTCCCGTTTCCACAGCTGTGAAGACCCTTATGGCTCTCCACAGCTGTGATTCTGATCTACAGTACAGGATTTACAGAAGTGCAGTAACGCAGGATCTTTCCCCAGCACATCAATTTTCTGTAATTGTGCCTTCTAATGGAATTTAAAGGTTTTGTGTATTTTTTCACTTTATTGTATGTTGTAATGTGTTCAGTAAAAAGCTCTTGGAAGTTCGCTTGTGCGATACAAACAGGCTGGCTCTGACTCCCCCAAAAGTCGGGGACGAATCTTTCATGGAAATAAAAACCTCCCTACACAGCTGAGCTGAGCTGGGTTAAGCTCAGTGGTCCCATCAAGTCCCGTTAGCTTGGTGAGAGTTACTATACACCACAGCAGCTTTAAACCTCTGTTATGTTTAACAACACGTTAAGCTTCATCTCAATTTTTCTCATTTCTGCACCTGCAGCAGAATTGGGGGGGGGGGGTTTGCCACTGGAAAAGACCAAAATAAAAAAAAAAGAAGAAGAAGAAAAAAAAGAAAGAAAAGAAACCTTTTGTGTTTGTCCTCCAAATATTTGCAGATGTGCTTTACAGATTTGTAAATTTCTTATGTTTCTTATTCAATGTCAACTTGCAGTACACGATTTTCTTTTAAGTTTAGGAATTTTCCAGTGAATTCATGTTCAGATTTTGGAGATATATTATATACCTACATATTAATTTTGGGGGTCTTTTTGTCCGTCCCCTTCTTTCTTTTGATTATGTCCATTATTTATCCTCTATACTAAACGGAGTACCATTTGTCTGGTATACAGCAGCTTCTTCCCTCTTGACTGCGAGGAGTGTAAAGAGGAGGAGGGACGCAGCAAGATTTGTTACACCCCCGCTGTGAGGCTTTCTCCCAAACATTTTCTGTGGAGTTGCTTTAAATATAAAAATAATTAATGTTCAACCCCTGAGGATACACGGTACACACAGGTAGCCTCAGTCAAATTGACCTAGAAAGCAGTTGCAACCCCTCCGACAACTTCTGGTCACTAAGGAAAAATGTATTTGCCAACGAGTAGGCAGGTTGGCAGAAAACATTTCCCTTCAAAGTAAAGGTTGGACTACATGTTTGAAAAGGCAGAACTTTTTACTTTGAAGGTGAATGTTCTCCATTCCCAGTTAGCAGCAAACTCTTCAGTTTCATAGCTGCTGGGAAGAGTGGTTGGCGTCTCCCATACAAATGACTAATGACAGCAGCAACCTGCTACCAGCCAAAGAAATGACAAGGAGATTTTTGCTGTAGCACTGTATGCCTTTTTACAGCTAGTTTCATCTAGCAACAACAAGCACCTTTTACTTGCCAACTGGTCTGGTGATATTTTTCGACCACTTCCTGCGTCACTGACCCTGAAGTATTCCTTTCAAATCAATTAACTTAAAACAAATCAAACAAACAGAAGCACACATCCATTAACTATCAACTCAATATTTTGATATTCATTATTTTATTTCCTCTTCATTTACATTAGTCGTTTCTTTTTTGGGCATTTGGCTTTACTCAGCTTACCAGACCTTACAATTACAACCAGATTAGTCACTGAAAAGCTACAGTAATGCACTGTTAATATTTAGATGCATGTAGGCAAAAAGCTGAGCGTTTTATTTTCACGTGAAAGCTGGAAAAGGTAATTGTTCTACAAAATAAAAGCATTCCTGTGGGGTTCATTAAGTCTAATTAAAAAAAAAAAAACCCCAAACAAACAAAAGCCTGAATGTTTTCATTTCCAGTATCCAGAGATATGTGAGTGCTTTCAGCAAGCTTTGTACATACAACTTTTGTAATGACGATCCAACTGAAGCCACAGAAACATGGAAGAGAGTAGCACAAATCTACCCTCTTATGCTCAGAGAAGTATGCATGTATACTTCTTTCTGTGGAAACTTAGATGGAGTCGTTCATGCATTAGTTTTATCAGTTCCAAAAAAGTAAGATGTAATGTGTGTGTGTTTATGCACCACTCTGTATTACACTCTTACTGCATTTGAGGATCAGTGTCAAACATCTTGTCTGGAACAACATGTTTGACACGAGTATGTATGTAGTTCTTAAGATGAGGCATCAAGGCAGAAAAACTAAACTTTTAATTAAATAAAAACTGTAAATACCAGCACTCTTCTCTGTGATGCCTTCCAACTAAAAAGCATTAGTAGGGGTTAATACCTGCTTTAAAGCTGAGCTCATCGGCTTCCTGGCCCGTGTAATCATAGAGTGCTTTGACTCGCACTCCCTCTACCTGCTCTTCTTCCTCCTCCCCGACGCCATTTACCGCCACCTTCTTTGGACTTTCATCATCTGACCAGTCTGATGAATAATCTTTCACCCTGTGAGAGAAGAGGGATAGAGGCGTTAAAAGTCAAGCTTGAACTTTTCCATTTGCCAAAAATAACACGAACATTTCCACAGACATAAGTTGGTAATAGGCAAATTTTCCCATTTTGAGTTTCCCCATTTTCCTGGCTTACATCACATGACTGAATTGAGGTGTTTCAGCTGCACGGCATCTCCTGGGAAACACCGCTTTTATCATCACAGATATGTGATGTCCCCAAACGGTGGGTGAGGTCGGGGTTGCGTGTCCCCAGTATGTGACTGTATTAAAAAAAAACAAACAAAAACAAAACAAAAACAAAACAAAAACAAAAACCACATTTATGTCCTCGCAACATGAGCAATACACGTGTATGCGCACACACACACACAGTTCTAGCTACTAATTAAGAGTGTCATCTATGTACAGGATGTTAACTCCTCAGGGTGACTACAAGGTAACAAGGAAAGTAAACCACATGCTGTCTTCTACCTCCGTCTCTGACACACACACACACACACACACACACACACACACACCTGTGAGAGGCATAATTGTAGTCTTGTGTTTAGTCTGCAATCAACAGCCCACAACATTCCATTTTAAAACTTCACAAAACCAACAAGCACAGCTCTCTCTTTAAAATTTTCTTAAAAAAAAATAAAAAAATCAAGAAGTGTGTTATGTATTGATGCTGTGTATTCATGTGCATGTGCACAGCAAACACAAGCTCTTTATGTTCAGGTGGAAAAATCTCTAAAAAATTACTGTATTGTTATTTTGTTCCAGTTGCAAGCACGTGTAGCGAGGTAAACGGCAAATGAAATTTAAGACACTTAATTTGCACTTCACTGCATATGTGGTCAGATCACAGAAGTGATTACAATCCCTCTCATGTGGGGACTCCTGCAGACAGGGCAGATGTGGAAATGTATCTGCTAGAGCAGGGCGATATGACCAAAAATATTTATCAAATTTGCGATAACGATATAACTGACGATATAATTGACACTAGACAAAATACTTTACAACTCCACAACTTTATTAGTGCAAAAAACCCCATCAATGTATTTTCACTTAAACAAGCAGCTGTTTATGTGCATTAAAGTTATATAAAAATTTAACAGTGCAAATGCAAATTCCTTGCTGACAGTTTAACCAAAAGGCATTTCCAGTGGAAACTGGCTGACATATCCTCAGCATAACTATGTATAATATCCACAAAACTTAAAAAGAGGTTATACACACACAATACAGTAATATTATGTTGAAGCACAGTACGTATCACTCTGCGAGGCTCCTGCCTACAATAGCCGTAATGCTCCGACAATCCATCAAGCGGTGCGGCTTCGTACTAAAACATTTGAAAGATTTTTCAAGCGCCGTGTACGACATAAAATCATTTCGAGGTCAGTAAACACAACCAGAATTCATACATAAGGCACACGGGATTATAAGGCGCACTGTCGACTTTCAGAAAAATCAAAGGATTGATTTTAAGTGTGCCGTATTTTCCAAACAACACGGTAATAACGACGTCCCGCTAGCATGCTCTACCAAAAATAGTGCTTTGTTGTGTATCTGACGGACGCAAGCCAAACCAGTTCCACACCACTGAAGTTGCAGCATTTTTACAAACCAGTTCTGGTTCATCCGTTTCATTCAACGATCTGCTTTCGCTCTTCTCATTCTGCGTCGCCGCCATGTGCGTATGTAAACAAAGGCACTGCGCATGCGCGTTTTACCCATATTCTATCGCGATATTTCATTTTCCTATCGTTGCCCAAAATTACACCGGTATTACCGTGAACGGTATGATACAGCCCAGCCCTAGTATCTGCAGCTATTCAGTAGAAAAATGAAAAGCAAGAACTACTTAACTAGTCCCTGGTTTTGTCAGAGGTTTCATACTGTTACAAAGGGAGTTTTTCCTTCCTACTGTTGCCAAGTGCTTGCTCATCAGGGTCAGCTGATTGTTGGTTTTTTTTCTATGTTATTGAAGGGTCTTTAACTTACAATATAAAGCACCTTGAAGCAACTGTGGTTGAGATTTGGAGATATTGGGGGAAAAAAATTGAAAGCACAACATATAAAGCACATCCCAAAAATCACATTTTAGAAATATTACCGCTGCTATTATCGTATTTGGCCATCAGAACCTGCACATTTGATTTTTAACCAAGTCTCCTGTATCATGGATAGTTTTCATAAAGCCAAATTGTTTCCTGTCATCTCTGGGGTTTATTTGTTGCAAAGTTTAAAAAAAAAGAAAAAAAAAGGGAGTATTGATTCCGTCAGAGGTCATACCAATAATAATTTATTGGTTAGTCAGCAACTGCTAAGTGCATGCTGTACTTGGCCTTTTTTTCACATGGAATATTTCACTCCCATTTCATGGATTCACCTCACCACCAGGTTCAGCTTTATGGTCTGTGAGTAGACATTTCGACTATAGGAGGTTAAAAGATTACGTATACTGCTTTGTGAGTCAAGCGCAATTATCTCCACAGATAGCTTCTCAACAGAGCACAGATGTTGGAGTTTATGATAACATAAACTCCAACATCATGTCCACAGTGTCCTCCTACCTGCTGGTGTCCAGGGTAATGGGACTCGGTGGGACATTGTCTCCAGCAGAGGAGACGATGTTGGTGAGGGTCACCACGTTCTCCTCAGAGTTTCCACTGTGCATCCTCTTGCTGATGGAGCGACTTGCCTCTGGAGACCACTCCTGCACACAGACACACAGTCATTTACTTAAGCTTACACTGACTCAGGTCTTTGTCTCTTTATCAGTTTATGTCGACATAAGTGACACAAGTTTAATGAACACTCTGTTGATGCATCCACGGGAGTCAACAAAAGCCAGAGCTAGGCCTTTAAAGTATGCTGCTGTTGCATTCAGTTAAAGAAAGGATGATGATTTAAATGAAAGAAAATGTGCTACACTGCAGTGTTATGGATGCACGGATATGCAAATGGTTTGGTTTTGCAAAGTCAAACCAAAGACGTAGACGAGATCAGCAGTGCTGTGTGTTACAACACTTGTTAAGACTTCATCCAAAATGCGTTTCTCTTCAGATTCTGTAAGAAGCGCGTCAAATAACAGCTAAAGATCCGTGGAAGGATACGACAACAGCACCGGTGCTTTGTGTCACTGATAACGTTACCCAAGATGCAGCAAATTTTTGACATTACATGGTACTACTTGTCATTGTTGCACGTTGTTGACCGTTTCAATTCAAAAACTGCTAAAGAACATAAGGCGTTATCTTCAGATCTCTTCTTTTGTCAAACCCACAGTGCTAAACTCAAAGGGAATCAGAGAGCTGCTGAAACTGACAAATATTCATATTAAAGATGCCGTATCAGAGACTCTCCGATTTTTAATGGACCTAAGAGATTTTAAAAAATTATTGTCTTTGAAGTCCAGAAGTGCCTCATTAGTGTTGATGTCATGTTCTTAACACTTATCACCCAAGTTTTAAAATACAGACAATTATATATTGTAGTTTTACAGTCGAATATAAATGAGCAAGAACAATGAAAACCACATAGAGACACAAAGTTATATGAAAATATAATCACAACACAAAACACCTGAGAGTTTTATATGTGAAACAAAATCTGAACAAAGCGCACTCTTAAAAAAAAAAAAAAAAAAACAATTCATAAGTTTCAACATGAAGCCCTGTCAATCTTTAGATCACACCCAGACCTAACGCACTATCATGTAATAGCAGGGTGCTGCTTGCAGGCGTAGGCAGCTGGGGATAGACTTGTTAGTATTAGCTCTCTTCAGAGGAACCTTGATCAGCAGGAGGTGTGTGTTCAGTGAGATACCACAGATATAATTAGACTTCTTGACAAGTGCTGTGTATAAGTTTCCCGTCAAGTGAGGCCATCGTACAGCTCCTCCTCGCCTGATCTTTACGCAGTGGGGGAATCGTGCTTGGAGTTATGAATGAATATAGTTAACTGAAAGTCCTCGCAAGTTCAGACATGTGTGTGTGTGTTGGGACAAAGGCTCTCTGTTCGCATGTCAGCGGCACTGTGGGAATGCCAGGAGATTCCTCAGAGGACAGAAAAGACACTTATCCCTGCCAGGATCTTCCACTTGCTTACTTTTTGCAAAGAATAACTGAGGAAGGTAAAAAAAAAAAAAAAAAAAGTGTTTACTTTGTCATCACTGCAATAATGTTAACTTAATAATCTTAAAATGCAGAATCCAAAGATCAGACTCATTGATAACGCTGAAAATGTGCATGTGTGCAAAACCTAGGAACTGAGAAAAACAAATCTATATAAGGAAAGTGGAGAGATCCCTCCACCAGGACAGACAGACGTCCAGCAGATGTCAAGCAGCACAGCCGATGTACTTTACAATTACCAGCTCTGGCAGCTCTCAGACTAAACCATCTTCAGCTGTGTGCTACCACTCGAACGTCTCTACTAAAGCAGTAACGATGCTTCAGTTTTTATTAACCAAAACAAAAAACATACTTCAGAGAAAAGCTAAAGTATGTTTGATCAAACAAATGGATTTGAGATCATCCAAAAATCTGTCAGACTTTAAGTAACTGTGTTGTTCGCATGTTACATGTAGTCTTTTCTATAATTTGAAATTCAAAGCTCCAGGTCTGGAACAGCAAACATAGCGGGGCAGTGTGCGGCTGCCAGAAATAAAGGTGGAGGATGAGAGGCAAGAATCCAGATAATGTAAGAAGAGGCTCTGCCGAACCACGCACAGAGAGAAAATAGGACAGTACAACATTTACAATGTGTGACTCAGGAGCAGACAGCAAAGACGGTGGGGAAGTACGCAATATGTAACATTCTGGAGACATGTAAGAAGTCACTGTTTCTCTCTTTTGTGTTTTAAACAGCGAGATAAAAGGACTTCTTGAAACCAAACTTGGCGAGCACTTCATCATACAGACTACCGACTTCAAGTGCAGTTGCCCTACACTCCTAAATTTGCAATGCATATTGCAGTACCTAAAAATAATTACACTTCTAACAATACTGCTAAAACTGGTAACAGCTGTCAGTTTTCAAAGAAAGAAAAAACAATTTACACCGATCAGACAAAACATTACAAGCAAAGACAGGTGAAGTGAATCACAGTGGTTATCTCTTTACCATGGCACCTGTTGGTGGGTGGGATACTTTAGGGAACAAGTGAATATTTTTTCCTCAAAGTTGAGTGTTAGAAGAAAAATGGACAAGGATTTGAGTGAGTTTGAGAAGGACTAAATTGTGATGGCTAGATGACTGGGTCAGCATCTCCAAAACTGCAGCTCTTATGGTGTGTTCTCAGTCTTCAGGAGTTAGTATCCATCAAAAGTGGTCCAAGAAAGAAACAGTGGTGGATGGATGTATGACCGGAAGGTCGGCCCATGTGGTCTAATCCAAGACACAAAAGTTAATGTTCGTTCTGAGAAACACCTGGCACCAGGATTCAGTATGTGAAGAAGGCAAGCTGGCAAGCTGGCAGAGGCAGTGTGATGCTTTGGACAATGTTCTGCTGGGAAACCTTGGGTCCTGCCATCCATAAGGATGTTACTTTCACATGTACCACCTACCTAAGCATTGCTGCAGAGCATCTACAGCCTTTTATGGAAACAATATTCCCCGATGGCTTCTTTCAGCAGGATACTGCACTCTGCCACAAAGCAAAAATGGTTCAGGAATGGTTTGAGAAGCACAACAATGAGTTTAAGGTGTTTACTTGGCCTCCAAATTCCCCAGATCTCAGTCCCATTGGTGATCTGTGGGATGTGCTGGACAAAACTATACGATCCATGGAGGCTAACCTCAAAACTTACAGGACAACAGGATCTGTTATTAACATCTTGGTGCAGATACCACTGCTCGCCTTCAGGGCTACTTTGGCAGAAAAAAAAAAAAAGGACCCACACAATTTTATGTCTTATTGGTGTATACTCTATTTTTAAAAGAAAGGAATAATGAGTAACTGTTTCATTTCCACTAAAATACTCCAAATGATGGTTCTCCTTTGTATGATAAGAATCATATTCTATAATTAGGGTATTGTAGAATACGCTAATCTACCTTTCTTACAATGTAACTATTATGGACGAATGCAGAATATTACAGTATCCCAAGGGAAAAAACAACATGCCTGGGAAAACACAGTGTACGTAGTTTCTTTAATTCACGCCAAAACCCCAGGACCATGGAGAAAATTTTGGACATGTAACCCTGGCTGTGCAAATTAAACAAAAACTCAGAAAGTTTCCTTTAGGTTATTCTTGTTTTTTGAAAAAGAATTTACATGAAACGGTAGTTTCATTAAAAAACAAACAAACAAAAAAAAACAAACAATTTTGTCACATATGCTAAGCAGACTACAGAATCCTGAGACTCTAATCTGAATTCCTGCACAACAATCATTTGCACTGTTGTTTGTGTTTTTCCATATGTAAATATTTGTATTTATTGGTCCTGTCTGCAGCACTGAGGTGCAAGTTCCATTCCACTAGCAACTAATCTGTGTGTGTGTGTATGTGTGTGTGTGTGTGTGTGTGTGTGTTCGACATTCCTAACCCCACTCAGCTTTCAGTCACAAAATGAGGCTTTCACTGGAACCCTGCTTAATATTCAGTCCGTCCCCTAAAACACACAGAGTCATGTTTCCATCTCCTCGGGAATTCAATGCAAATCACTACAATGTCCTTTAACAACCCCTAAAAGAATCATTTCCTCAACTTTAAATGGAGTCCTCAAACTCAAAGTTAATGATTTACAATATTTACATAATGAGTATTTAACCAAACTGAGGTCAAGTCCCGTTGAATGTGACCGTTTCAACAGATTTACGTTCCGACAGCACGGATAACGCACACACAGATGTAGATGACTGCACAGAAAAAAACAAAGCAAAACAAAATAATTCATGCGCGACAGGGTGAACAGAGTTTGTGTTTTCACACCTCAAACTGGGGCCAGTTCATGCTCATGCCCGGTCCGTGGGTGTTCCTCCACCATCTGAGGTCTTCAGTTTCGTTGGCTGCACGAATGGTCTGGCCCAGGTCCTGGTACAAGGCTTTGAAGCTAATGGACAGAAAGGGAGTGAATAATCACATTGATTGACACTCTGTCATCAATCTGCAGACCATCTTTCATCTGACTTTGCAACCTGTAACGCATGCCTAGGGACGCTTGTCATTAACCCTGCTTCATGCTGCACAGGTACAGGGCAACGAAATGCAGTTTGCATCCAAGCACTTCTGGATGGATGCAAACTGCATTTCGTTGCCCTGTACCTGTGCATGTGCAATGACAATAAAGTTGAATTCTATTCATCAGGAAAAGACAGGTTTCCAAGTTGGGGATCTTCTAAAGTCATAAAAGATTACTTATTGAAGCAGGAAGCAGTTGTCAAAGAAAACAACAGACTGTACTTGCTGGTTGAACATGGAGAGAATTAAAATCGACACAGTGCATTTTGAATTTACAGTAGCAGGTTCCTGATAGGTCCTGTTTACTCACAGGGCTGGGCATCGAGAACCCTAGAGCCGTCATTTAAAGGTGGGATTTGAGATAAGACACGCTGCATACTTTCTAATCAGCTTCATCAGCACTGAGCTGGTTTGTATACACTCAGATATAACATGAAGAAAAAAAAAACACAACAACAACAACATCTCTTCATCTACATCCAATCTTCCAAAGGAACAGCTGGTAAGAGGGCAGCTTCCCCCCCCCCCGACACACTCTCAAAGTGTTTTTTAATTTTAATTTTTTTTTTAAAGGATCTCAAACTTATCACAGAGATGGAACATGGTTTTTTGGGGGGATTTTCTTTCCACTCTCTGTAATATGTGCCAGGACGAACCATCTAGTGAACACACATTTTGCACCAGTAGTTGAATATTATCCCACCATGTTTAAAGCCTTACTGACTAGTGTCACATGGAGGAGGTGGGTGAAAAAGTATTCCCATTGGTCCTTTATAAATTAACTCATCATCCAACGTGGTCTGCAGCCTCTAACTGACATAACACTAAAGGCTTAAACGAAAGCATACTGTAAAGGCTGTGAGTTATATGATATTATACAATTTCATATTTATTGTAGCTGCAGGAAACATGCTCACTGTGGGACTAAAGAAACACGTGTTCAGGCTTTTTATTTGATCATTCCGACTCCTCAAATCTTTCTTAAGTAATGTTTTATATACACATATATATCAGTGCTCTGGAATAAATACATGGATACCAGAGGAAGTCTCTCAGAGTTTAAAAAAAAAATACGTTCACACAGTGAGAAACTGCTCTTCAAAAGAGCAGTTTCTTCAAGGGTTAATTTGCTCAATATTTGGACAGAGTTGGCTGGACTTTGCCATGGTAACCATTATTGGTAAAGTTGCTTGTTTAAATAAAATATGAGGTCAACAGTTAATGGACAACAGCAAGAGTTTTCCATTAACCCCTGTGTACATACGCACATGTTCAGACCGACATCCGTGCCTTCGCAGCTCTGCATGCCTTCGCTGTGAGTCATGGATCGCTTGATTCGTAATCCACGTAATTTTGGATAAATAAATACAAGCATGTGGATTTTTCCTTACCTGTCTTTGGAGGATAGGTCAAGGTGTGTATGGATGTCGAGCAGGACATCTTTAAAGAAACACAGCCTCTTGCGCTCAGCCTCCTGAGTTAAGTCGAACACCTGCTCCATGTCCTCCATGTAGCGGGGGTTACAGCGGTTCAGCTCCTCCAAGGCCTTGGAGTAGCGCTCCTTTACCTGCCGTAAACACACACACACTGAGCTACTGCGTAGTAGTACACCAATGTGTGTTTTGTTAAATGCACCATTTCAATTACACTTCATGGTCTTACTCAGGTGCATGTGCCTTGCATGCTTCGAGTATATGTGCAAGACTGTCTGTTCCAAAGAGCAGAATAAAAACCTTTGGAAAGCAGCTATAAAGCTCGTTGTAGTTTTATTCTATTTTAATAATGAGACATTTCAAGCTTTATTCAGAATTGCATTTTTTGTTCAATCATTTAAGTGAATTTATTTTATCTAACATTATTTTATTTATGGATTTAAATCAGCTTCCAGTGTAGTTCAGATGAATTAAAATCCTAAAGCAAACTACAAGAACAACTGAACAGGGTGTTTACCTCTCCTGTAATAAAAAAAAATATTCAAAGTGACAAAAGAACTCAACGTTTCCATATTTCCGGATTTATCTAAGAGACTTTGAATAATACTTAATGTCAAGAGTGCAAGAGTGACCAACTGAATTCTGGGAGTTTCTTTTTATTATGCACACAGTATGAACAGCTCTCCATCATTAGTAAGTATTATTTACACTGATAACACGCTGTTGACTAGAACCCACCATAATAAGACTGTCTTCTTCTTCTGTGAACTCTTGTAAGAACCCACTGAATAAAATGTTTAAATATCTTAATGATTACATAAAGTGTGCAGTGATTAAACACAGCAGATACCAACACGGGGCGCTGAGACTGGTTGAGACAAGTGATTGAAGACTGAAGGCTTTTTTGGATGTATTTTTCTTCAAGCTGTGAATGAGTAATGATATTGGATTTCATTTCCTTGTTGAGATCAACATTGCTCAAGAGGTCCTTGGCTGCCTGACAACGCTGTGCGTACTAAATGAACACGTCTCAGGATTTCCTTCGTTTTTTTGTTGTTTGGTTGATCATTTCCCTCTCCGGGTCCTGGAGCTACTCCTCAACCGTTGGGTTTGTTACAAGTGGAAAGTCGAGGAGACAAGTCCGGTCATGTTTCAAAGTTAAAAAACATACACAGGTATGTTTTTCTGGAGTCAGACACACCCAGACTGGTACAAGAGGAGCTATGTATGGGACTCTGTTTATATGTACGTGTTCACGTGTGTGTGCATCGTACTTTCTCGGTGTCCTGGTTACAGCGCTCCACCCGGGTTGTGTACTTGCGAACTTCCTCTTGTGACTTGGTCGGGTCAGCCTTGGCGTGCGCCTCCCTGTTAGCCGCCGTCCACTCCTCTTTCCTGGCCTGATGGTAACTCTTCTTAGTTGACTCCACCTGGACACACGCACGTGTTAAACACTTGCTATAAACTCAGTAAAGACTAAACTTCAATTTTTTCCAAAAATGTACCCGTCTCTCCTCATTGACACATCAGATGTAATATCAGACTCACTCACATCCATCCAACAACTGTGATAATATTACCTCAAATACAATCACCTATGACGTAATAGCTGCATTCAACCACTGTGTTATCTTATACGACAATCTTATAAAAGGAAAAAGAAGGAGGGAAGTTTATTCACCGACACTATAGTCAAAAGAAGCACTTACTTTGCCATTTCGCATTTAAGTCCAATTATGTCACTTTTTGTTGAGGAATTGCTAAATTCCAGTCTATGAGGGTCTGCAGTAGTCCCAAACTTATAGTGGACTGATTCCACTATTTTATCTCGGTCCTGATGCACAATGGTCACTGTGAAGATGGCAAGTGGCTGTGAGATCCCCGTTTTTCATGCAAATATTTTAACAAGACTACAAGTCACACTGTCACAATAATTGTGTCTGCGCCACAGTCTCCAGTTTTCCATAGTGTGACTGTAGCATAAAGCAACTTCATGTGTGACATTTGCTAAGAGGATGTGTAGACAGTTGCTGGCTTTTGTTTTTATTAAAAGAAACCTTTCAACGACAACTTTGTAGACACTGGCCATTTGCAAGTATTCACTACAGTCACGTCATCTCCATTAAATCCCATTAGTGTGTACTGCAGCCACTCACTGATGCAGACTGCCCTACAGACCAACGTCAGAAAATCTACTGAGGCCGCCCTCACCTCCTTCAGCTTACGGACCCAGGGCTTCTGAGCTTTGCGGAAGCCATCATCCGCGTCCTTCGTCTCTCTGAAACCTCCCATCATTTGCTTGTGGAAGGCCTCTTTTTGCCAGCTGCGTACTTTCTCGCTGTCCTCACCCGCCAGCTGCTCCCGCAGCTCCATGTGCAGCTCGCTGAGTCGGTCAGCCGCTTGCATGAAGGCATGCCAAGCCTTCTCCAGTGTACCATACTGGGGCCCTAAATAAACGTGAGAAAGCGCCCCTTCAGGTTATCACTAAATAAAAATCACTCGTCCCCATTTGTCTACATGTTTACAAAATTAATTGTAGGTCAGTGTTGTGAAACTTCGCCTGTGGATATTTTGATGGGGATTTCCATAAACATCGTGAGCTTTGCTACCAAATTAAAGATGGATGACTTAATTTATTAGATGATGAACAAAATATTAACTTGTAAAAAATTTAGCCAGCTAAATTATCATCTTGGTCATATTTAAATAGAAATCCCAAACATATCCCATTTATATCATAAATGTCACATTTGCAATTCCTGTGTTTGTTTGTTTGTTTGGTTTGTTTATATATATATATATATATATATATATATATATATATATAATATATATATATATATATATATATATATATATATATATATATATATATATATATTAGGGGTGCAACGATATTCGTATCGATATTGAACCGTTCGATACAGTGCTTTCGGTTCGGTACGCATATGTATCAAACAATACAACATTTGTAATTTATTTTATCAATTTTCCTTCTGACGATGCTGTCTGTGTTGAGCGCTCAGTGAATCTGCGTTCGACTACTCCGCCTAGGCTGCACTGTCGAGCGCAGATCCACTGAGCGCTCCACACAGACAGCATAGTCAGAAGGAAGAGCACAGGGCAAGATAGCGAGACAGAAGTTAAGCTCTCCTTGCAACAGGCAAATTGACCCTCATTCAGATCTGGCGTTTGGAATTATTTTGGTTTTCATGTGACGTATGACCCTGAAGGTAAGCGAGTCATGGACTAAAGTAAAACAGTATGTTGGATGTGCCATGCAATGCTCAATTACATTGGTGTGAACTAGTGTGTTAGCGCAGTTAGCTCGTTAACGTGTTGGCCGTCTAGCCCCATGCACGGAGCGATCGGCGGTAGCTCGTTAACGGAGATTTGCCGTGTTGTGGCGTTAAGGTCATTTCAACGAGATTAACCTGAAAGGACTAGTGGGAACACAACGAATATGACTGCACATTTACACCGACATCATCCTAGTGCAAAGACAAAAACAACAAGCATGCTACTAAGTTTAGCAGAGTCATTTAGACAGCTGTTAGCACATGATTCTCCTTATGCTGCTGAGAATATAGCCCAGAAGAAGCGGATAGTATAGCTTTTATTTTGGAAAGAGCCATTTCTCTGTAATAAACTCTCTTTTCCAAAGATGAGTGATTCCTCAATCAGATACAGGGCTTGCAATATCGCTAGCCCGACGTCCCGGAGCTAGCGATTTTTTCAGTCGGGCTACCAAAATCTCTCTCTTCCCTGCCCGTCGGGCTATTGTAGGAAAAATATATGTCAATGCTTTTGCATTCTTTCAGAAATGTAGCTGGGTAATTATGTCATTGGCATCGGTGAGCCACTGTCAATATGTGACATTGAAGTCGCGTTTGAATTTGCGCTTGTTTTTTTGCTTTCACTTTGCAATCGTGCGAACTGTGTATAGAGAGCGACAGCACTGATCTGTGAGTGATGATAATTTGTGCACCAATTCCTCTGACATCGTCTTATTAATCGTTAGCTTACTATGCAAACATGACAAGTGAAATCTCCCGCAGCAAGCTTAAACATGTGAGAGGTTGATCGCGCAGAGAATCGCTGAGCTTATGTGAGTGCGTGTGTAAAAGCATTTCAGTTCTGCTGAGCCAAATAAGACAGGTCAGGGTGAAGAAGTGACAGCCAAATAAAAGCTTACCACAAAACGGAGAAGTTATGACAAATCAGACTATAAGGCAAAAAGAAAGTGCAGCTTTATGGTTTCATGGACAAAATAATTTCTGTGGCTGCAATATGACGAGCTATATAACCAGGGCTGCACATAAGTGGTCCGCAGGTGCGCATTCGTTGTCAAAATAAAAAACGCGCACAAGGGTTAGGGTTAGGGTTAAATTTAAAAACTGTACTTTTGAGTTAAAATATATATTTATAATTTTAATAAATGACAAATTAAAAATGCATGAACATTTTTTTTGTATCGAAAAAATATCGAACCGTGACACCAAAGTATCGAACCGAACCGTGAATTTTGTGTATCGTTGCACCCCTAATATATATATATAACGTCATAATTTCTATCCAAATGTGGTGACGTCTGATGGAAACTAACTGGTGGCTATATCCACTCTTTTATAAAAAGCTAGCATTTAAACTAACCTTTCTCCACAACAACCCTCCACCTCTTGGCCCAGTCACTCAGCTGAAGAGCGTAGTGCTTTTCTATCTTGGCTCTCTCCTGGAAGCAGGTGACTAGCTCATTGCACAGCCTGTGGCCATCGTCAATCCGCTTTACCGTCCTTTTGTAGTTCCCCGGCTGCAGAGACACACCAACGAACCAAACAGGAGCGAGGAAATAGAACAGCGTCAGTCACTCCCTGAGTTCTATTCATGTCATCGTTGTATCTAGACATTAGCAACAACAGTTTGGACTGAAGCATATTTGGTGGATAAATGATATAGAGATGATCGAAACTGAGATTAAAAAACAAAAAAGGGGAGACAAAAGGTAATACAGCCACTGGAGATGAGAGTGTGTATTTTTCCCAACATGGAAGGCTGTGAAGAAGTCAGTCTTCGGTCTTTAGATAAAAGCATGTAATGAGACCCGGCTGACTGACACACTGACTTATCTGGCTGCTTCGGCCTCTTAGTTATTCTGCATTCAGGTGCTGTTGATCAGCTAAATAGACATGTTCATGTGCTGAACACATTGAGCCAGGTGTTGATCCTTTCACAGGCTAGAGTTGGTGGTGTTAAATCGCAGTGATTTGGAAAACATTTAAACAGTGAAAAACATGAAAGGTTGAAAATTTAAAAAAAAATTCAAAAAGGATGTTTTTTTAATTTGAATTTTCAAAAAAGTTGAAAGACGGGCCAGAAAAGACTGGTAAAGTTGCGTAACCCCAATAAGAAAAAAAGCAACTTGTTGGAAAGCTCACAACTTGTTAGGTTAATTAGTAGCATGAGTGGGTAGAAACCTGTGTCTGCAGGCTGAAACACTGCAGCTATAATAAGACTCAGACTATAAAAAGTTAAGTGTTGTTTTAAGTTTTGTAGAGCGGCTGATGTACGACAGCAATTAAAGTGTTACTACTGTACCTCCCAGAAGCTCTCAGAGCTCCCCAGCTCACTTAGGTCTCCATTAGAAGACATCTTGGGGTCGGCCCCACAGCACAGAATGATGGCGGCTACAGAAGAAACTGAGGAGGAGAAAAACCCGAAAGAAGCATGAAAGAGAGAAAAAAAAAATGTAAATTAAATTTTAACAGGTTCACTGACATGATCTTGTTTGATTCCAAGTACATCTATGCACTTCAACTTTCTACTCCAAATTAAAAAGCCCTAACTGGAAAAAGCCTGGTTAACCAGAGTAACAGCGGCCGACACTTAATTTAAAAACAATGAAACTTTAAAACATAATTTTTAAGGAATGAGTCTACCTGCTCTATGAATACGTCACAGCTCATTTCATCTCTCTGTATATTTATTCTCGAGCACCAGTTGGTTTGTTTGCCTAGTGACGCTTTCTGGGAAATCCACAGCTCAGCCCTCATCTTGGACTTGTGACAAGATACGGCTGTTTCACACTGAGACTCTGATAAACACTGATGTCCTGGAGACGGTGTTTCACCCTGACATAATCATACACTTCACTACAAGCATAAATCAAGTACACACCATCATTATCCCCAGACCAAAAGCCTAATAGAGGAAGCAAAATGACCTTTTTTGCTTACTTGAGGTCACCTTTGAAAACAGCTGCGTAAAATAATTTTTAAAAATGTTTTAAAGCTGCAGGTGTTATCATGGACAGGAAACAGGAAAAATAACTTAAGCAAACACTGAAGAGATGTTAAGAGCTTGAAGTCCTACAGTTACATGACAAATGGGACAAACTGCACCTCCTAACTTATAATCATGTAATATGATCGAAAGGTCAACAAGCGCAGTCCAAGGCTGCATGCTTTCACCTGTCTGAAAATTCATGCAGGAAGTGAATCTCTGGATCCAGATTAACTTGCGATATTTTCTCGAGAACATCACAACCAGGTTTCCCCATTTTTTTCTTATGTCATATTCATATTAATTTGTCAAAATATGATGTGAAATTTAAATTTTATTAAATAATCCTGCTGACACGGACACATTTAGACAACCTCCTTGTCAAGAGGATCGGTACGGAAGAGGATTGGGGCCACTGGAAAAAAAAAAAAAAAAAAAAAAAAGAATTCTGACTTTAATCTCAGAATTCTGAGATTAAAGTCAGAATTCTGAGAAAAGTCAGAACTCTTTTTTTATTTTATTTCCAGTGGCCCTAATCCTCTTCGGTAGATCAGGAACATTTGTGGCCATTCAGGATTTCCTTAGAAGATGTTTCTTAAAAAGACGCGTCTCCTCTTTTTCTGGGGTTATCAAACCCAGTAGTCTCCAGTCTTATTGCTCCACTGTAAGCAGCTCTACAGTTTCAGCTTCTGGCAAACTGCAGCTCCCCATCAGCTGACACAGAAAGCCAAAGAGTCCTCACTGCTCTCTGACCTCAGGGCTGCTCTGCTCAGTTTGTTTTTTTGCACAGAGCTGGATGGTGTGCGTCCTACAAATGCCGATACCCTGTCGTGCGCAGTCGGTCCACTCCTCTTTATACACAATGGACTTCTTTCAGATGACAGGAAGCACAACATTTGTACAAAAATCAAGCTAATAAGAAAGGAAAAAATAAATAACTTGGTGAGTTGACATCTATATTTGTTTGGAGGACTGAGTACTGTAGTTTCAACCTGCAGATGAGTTGACTCATGTGACACCAGTGGCAGGAACGCACATGATACCAACTATGTGCATCTATGGCCCATCCCAATGCATAGAAAACACAAACAGGGAAACTAATTAACAGACTGTTGCTTTGTGTATTCTCACTACAAACAATCCCTTTTTGTGAAATACTTTCTTAAAAGCAAAGCACGATGCACAACTGTGCAAAACCAAAGAGCAAACCTGCATTTTAAATTCAGCTGCAACTGAACTCGAGGGGATTCATTTTTTACATTTTGTAGCTCTGCAGGAACTCTACCAACAGTTTACTGTGACCTGGCTTTCCCATACATCCACTTCCTCCGTGTTATCCTCCAATTGGACAAAACCCTTTGTCAAGGCCAGGCGGTTTCCTGTTGCAGATACAACAACTTGTCAAACACACCATTACTCGAGGCCTAGCGGCTCACTTAACCTCAACACAAACTCAAATCTCACCTCTTGCTAAAAGCTAAAAGATTCGTGTGCCACATTTTGGTCTGCAAGCAGCTAATGCCAATGTAATAACTGATACACAAAACATACATAACCTTTCAAACGGTCAGACCAGTCCAAAGAGTTTAGACCATACCCATCTTTACAAACATTATAAACAAAAACAAACTCTATGCATTAAAAATGAGAAGGAGCATGGCATGAGGGGGTTCAAAGTGGAGAGGCCCTTTACCACACTACTTGCAGCACCCATTACCCAGGGCTTGTGGGTCAGACCACAGACATCTTCAAATTTAAATTCCATCTGGATCTACAAAACACTAAGCAGCAATCTCTGGGGTACAAGCCTCCGTGGACAGTTTCCTCAGGGTGTTTTAACTGGCAGGTGGACACCTGCAGGAGTCAACTGCTTAGTTTACGAATCAGAATGAGTGCACTGGACCTCCCCACCCTGTCTGTGGTGTTTTTAATGGAAGGATCTAACACAGAACGTGACTTGCATGTTGCAGTCAGAGTTTGTGGATACAACTTGTTGCTCGATCTGATATTGCCATGTTGGTGCCATTCCTGGATCAACAACACTAATATTAGTCCAGACTCAACAATGCAAGTGACCAGTCACACTAGTGATGTCACAGTTTTGCGATGTGGAAACATCATCCCATGACACATCAAAAAATAACCCTAACTATAGCCCTATAACCATAACCACAATCATAACCCAAACCCTGATCCTAAACCCCCTAAGTTCTGTAAGTTGCATCTTGCAACTATAGCATGTTGGAGTTATCTGTACACCTGAAGTGGCCACGGATTACAAAACACCTTCTCTGGTAGTTCCCACTGCAATAGAAAAGTATGAACTCAAAGAGCTTTATTGTCAAATAAAATATTGTATTTTGACACTTAAATTAAAGTTTTCGTACAATGCAGCTGAATGACATGTTGGTGTTAAAGTTAGAAATAAACACAAAGAGATCAGTTGTAAGACACAACAATGGGGAGATGTAGATGAAGAGAAAGGGCTGCCAATAATGAAGCCTGATTTCAATAAATAACTGCCTCTTTTCTAAAGACAAGTAAAATAACTATATAAATGAACTGTAACTAGTTTAAAGAGATTTTTCCCTAAACCGTTTACTATGTGCATCATTTTCTAGAAGTTTGATCACTGTTTGAATATTTTCTCTGTGAGACCATGCTCTACAAGTTCGACTTGACAAGACTGAGAGGTTCCGGATTATTTTTCCTCCTTCCTGAGTCTCACATTGTTCACTCTCACCGTAAATAACTCCCAATGTGTCAGTGCTGGGAGCAGACCAGTGCTAAATTAGGTGCAGAGTACAACAGTAGCCTTGGTGAGATCTGCAGGGAACAATGTGGGAGTGAACATAAATTAGCTTTGCAGTTTTGCCAGTTATGCAACAACGGAGTAGCAAGCCTTCACTTAGGGCAGATATCTGAGTTAACCGTGAATAAAAAGGACATAGCTCTCATATGTAATTGTAGGTGTGTCCGACTGTGTGTAGGGGGTGTGGTGTGTCTGAGGAGAGTGACGTTCCAGATTAACCAAAAGCTGATGATCCAAAAACACACCGTAACACCACACCTCCCACACATTTAATCCACATCAGGCAGTGAGTGAAATCAACAAAAGGATAACCGTGTATATGAGTGTCACTGCTGAGTGTTAAGTATGTCAATAACAGCAGAGGCATCTGCCACCAGCGTGCTGGGACATGAGGCACTATGTGAAAATGGACTTGGCCCTGGATTGCCAATTACTGCTTCTTTGGAAGTTCAACAGAGGCTTAACCAAAACAGCTTTATGATGGAGGGCATGACAACATGACAGTAGTCAATATTGTAGAGCCTCAAAATGGTTGTAGAGCTTGGAAAATTTTGGTGGGAGGACTGAAGAGGTTATTTCACATGTTTACAGGTTGACACCAGAATTTGTGCAACATGCTCAGCAGATAGTTGGTAGAGATGAGGAGCATTTTGAAATACATTTTAGTCCAAAAAGTTACAACATTCATGTGGTCTAAAGAGAACTGCTTTTAGGTAGGGGAGCACAGAGCAGCCTGCTAATAAAGGCTTTTTATATTTTGCTTCTAGTGTTTTAATACTATGCCCAACCTTGTATCATCCAACAGTAAACGATGATTTGAATCAGTATTTTATTCCTAAATGAAACTTTGCCAAACTGTTAATCACATCTAACCAGTGTGTGTATTTTAGACTCAGCCCAAACTTTAAACTAGAATTAACCTAAACCATTTATGTTTCTGCTCTTTCACTTCTCTTCTTTTAAAATACACACACACACACACACACACACACACACCTCTGATTACCACTGGGACCACTGTTGCCTTCACCTCCCACATCTTCTCTAGCTCTTCTTAGTTCTTGGCAGGAACAATCTTCACGTGTTCCTTCTTCCCGATGTTGCTATTACTTGGTATAGCTAAATCTATTACTATAATCCTCTTCCTCTGCTTGTCCATCACTACTATGGCTGGTTGGTTAGCCATCACCAGTTAGTCGTTGGGCATTTTTGCATAGCCTTACATGGGGTTTTGTCTGGTGTTGGCGACCCCGTCTTGTGTTCTTGTGCTGCCATGATTAGTGCTTCTGTGCTGTCTTTCAGTTCATCTTTGTTCAGCCATTAGTAGAATTTCTTGATATCTGCCACTTCTTCTATCTAGCGCTGGTAGATACCGTGCAGGGGCCTGTCCTTCTGTGACAGATCCTTGTCTTGCTCCTCCTTTCCCCCCCCCTCTGGGGTGTGTATGAATATGTGGATGTTAATCAGTTTCAGCTGCTTTGGCGACTAGGGTCAGTGTCACTACTAGTAGTGTGAGGCGATACCTAGACCCTACAGAGGTTGCAGAGGCCAACTTAGTGGCCGAACAATCACAATGGCACATCAATACATGCCATTTCTAGAAGG